AGCTCCCAAAGGATCGTACAAAACGAAAGTATGTTTCGATGTCCATGAAACAAAAAGTGGAATTGCTGCAAAAAATGAATAAAGACATGAAGAATGTGACAGAGAGGTTAGTGAAGACGAAAAAATTTCGATTGACAAGTTAGTCGGTATTCTCGGCACAGCAATTAACGGGACTTGAACAGCGGAACTTTGTAACTGAACAAGAAATTATGTCTGTTTATAGAATTAAAGAGAAAGTATCATCACACAAAACGAAGCAACTTAAACAACTTACATTGAAAGAAATGTTTAATAAAGTAAACAAAAATATTAAGCATTTTTTTTTTTTTTTTTTTTTTTTTTTTTTAATTTTGATACCCTTTAGATCATAATTGTTCTTTATTTCAGAAATTATGGTTTCATATTTTTAATTTTAGAATTTCTGCATGCCATCTTACGAGATTTAAACTGATGATCTATAATCTAGAAAAATCGATAATCCGGAATCGCCGAAGTCCCGACGAGTCCAGATTAACGACTTTTGACTGTACTTCTTTTTCTGCGTTAAAAATTGAATTCCACAATTAGCAAATTTGCTAATGTTCATGCAAAAGTTCTTTAAATTTGAAAAAATTATCATCAAGATTAAACCTGTTGAAAGAAAAATGGTTATGTTATGCATGTTAATAAAAACAAACATGAAGATATTAAAATGCATAGAAGTATTCTATAAAATCAGCTACATACTAGCGAGCTTCTTTTCTGTATAAACAACAGTTTTCTTAATATTTCTAAACAAATGGTTTACTCGTCGCCACTCTCTTAAAATTCAGAACTCACTAAATTTTTTAATTAGATGGCAACTTAATACCAGTATCGCTTTTGATAGTTTCCTGTCAGCCCAAATAGAATCAGATCACAGTAGTCAGATCTTATGAATTATACCAAAGGCTCGTTGTCAAAAGGAGGAAAATGCACACAATGCCGAGCGAAAATTAGGTTTATATGAATGAAATGAAATGAAAAGTAAATGCAAGCTTCTCGTGTCCCCTCCAAAGTAAAATCGCGGTAGATTGAAAAAAAAAAAAAAAAAAAAAAAAGGTGTATTCTTACTATCATCAAAGGTAGAAAAAGCAAGGCCCGAACTCGCAATACAAGTCCTTAGTAAAAAAAGCTTAATAACATTCTTAAGCGTGGTACATCCGCGCTAAGGTATCTCCTGGATAAGAGTGGTTTTCAGACTTCACCTCCAGGAAACTGAAGAAACATTTGGGTTAATTAATTAAATAAATTTAAGTTCAATTAAATAAATTTAATTAAATAATTTAAGTTCAATTAAATAAATTTAATTAATTAATTAAGCCGGAGACTGGCTCCGGCCCAGTTTAAGCTCTGGGTTTACCGAAATGACTGCAACAAAAATAGGTAAATTTATTATTGAAAAAGTAGAGAAAAAGTTGTACAAATATTGTTCCGATAATGCAAAGAAAGTTTCATTAAGGGGATTATGACTGTCGCAGGATTCTCTTACAATATGAAGTTAAAAATGAGAAGAGTGCAAAAAAATGTTAAAATCAGTTTTAAGTATTATCGAAAGAAAGGTTTACCTCAGTTATTTAAGAAAGAAATTCCATTTCTTTATCCCAACGACTTTTAAATAATGAAACTGTATCAAAGCAAAGAAATAAGTCCTATTTCGAAAATCGAAAATTACTACTGCATTCCTTGAAAAAATGAAGACTAATATAGACATTGCATATAAAAACTTTCAATATATTCCTGCGAAGCCGCCTGATGTTTCACCTATAGACTATTGTGCCTTTGGTCTTCTGAAAAGAGCTCTTTTAAAGCGCAACAACCACAAGTAATGGAATTTTGGAAAATAGTGGAATAGGAATGGACAACAAAAGCTCTGTAAACATTACAAAACGCCTTTCTGTCAAGGAAAAGACAATTCAGGCTTATAGTCCAGGAAGAAGGCTATCATTTCGAACATTAAAAAAAATACGCTTTAAACATTAATTAACAGCCCCCAAATCGTTCTAAAAGTATGGGAAAGTCTTCTGCAAGTAATGTTTGAGCCAAATATTTACCAAAACAATGCTTCTTATTCTTCTAGTAATTTATGTCAAAACACGCTAAAAATTGATAAAATAAAGAAGTGAGTCTATTGCAATACAAATAAATTAGTATAAAATGTTTCCTAAAGGTTTGTGTTAATATAAATCAGAGATAATAATAACTTATGGATTCAAAGTCCGTATGAAGTGTGTTAAACCTCCTTACTACTTGCGAATACTATATCAGTGTGAAAGACAATTAATCTATCACGATAGTATACTGAGGGTAATTCTATTCACTTTCAAACTTTCCCGTTTAAAGTAGTAGTAAAAGCTTAATTTTCCAAAGACTTAACAAATTCAAACCCATACAACTTTTGGTAAAATGTTCCCCGAGCTCTCAGGGGGCGTATAAAAAAAGGAGTCATTTCTTACAAACACGATGACCCTGAAACACGATGATATTACAATTATTTGCAAATAAATTTAGAGAAAACAGACTTTTTCCTATGATTTACGCCTGCAAATTTAGTTATGAAGCAAGGAACAAAAAATAAAGTATTAAATGCGAGTATTCACGTAAATATTTCAAAAATATCAGAATGACAGGAAACATATATATTTCCTATTTGAACGTAATCATTGTTAAGTTAGCGAACTTTTTTATAACGAGACAGAAGATATATTTTAGAAGCGGAAACAAAGATTTCAGTGTTTGAGCAAAAATCAAATTTCACTATAAAGCGAAATAATCTGAAAATGATCGAAAGTATAAAAATACCTATATTACATACTGTCTTGAAAGTAATGTTTGAATGTGTTCGTTTTGAAAAGAATACGGCTAGAAATTCCGAAATTAATAATCATTTTGGTAAAATTTATAGGAAATGTGATAAAAAGTTTTTTTTACTAGTAAATACTACTTAAGGGAGGAAATTAGCTGATAAAAAATTTGTATTATTAAGAAGAAGAAACTTTTGGTTCAAAAAGGTGATTTAGTAACTTTCCTGATTCCCTCAGTAGTGTTTTGATATCCGTCATTCCATAGAATCCAATAAAAAATTTGTTTTGATGTGTTTGGATCGTATGTAGTAATTTAAAAATGAGCATTTGTGTGATTTAGATACCTAAATTCAACTGACTTAAAAAAAGAAAATGAATGATGAAGGAAACTCTAAGCTGTATAGCCAGATTTTACAAAAATGTTCAACTTATACTAATTTTATGGATAAAAGTACTTAATGATAATTTGTGTTCCTTTTCCTTACTAAGCTAACACATAAACGTTTTCTCCTCATTTCAATAAAATATAATATAACAACTAATTTCTATAAAACGTGAGAAAAAAGTATACCTCGCGAGAAAAACAATTCCTAGGAAAAAACATCCCTTTAATAAAACAAATATTTTTCATTATAACTGTAGAGAAATACACATTTCTCATTTTCCTGTATATGTGGAGACAAGCAGTCGTACTGTACTTCTCAATCTTTTTCTCTTGTAAAAATTCAGCCTCTCAAATGAGAAAAGTGTTTCATACTTTGAAAAAGGAAATTACTCTATGAATGCATCTTTTAAATGCATCTCTACATGCTTTACCGTAATTATCAATTAAGTTAATTGTCTATTTTTTCTGGCACTTGAGAAATATTCTTGTCCTATATCTGAATTCATTTAGTTAACTTTAAAGTATATATATAGATATATATAATTATTAAAGAGCAATAGTCTTAATAGTCTATCTTTACATTTAATTATTTGTTAATATTTATACATGTATATGAGCTGTTTGTTATTATACATAAATAATTAACAAAAGTTGAGAAATTTCTCGCAATATGCCACAAAATGAATGAAATAGTTAAAAGAAGGTTATTAGATCAAAATTAGATTGTGAAAAAGAGCAACTCTTCAATAGGAAATACACATATCAGTGCATCAGGGCAAGTTTTCAATAGGAAATACACATATCAGTGTATTAGGGCAACTTTCCAACAGGAAATACACTGATACGTGCATTTCTACCCTCTTTCATAATCTAATTTTGAATTAATTATTTTCTCTTAGTTATATGTGTACTATATACATTCATTAGAGTATATTACACGTGTATTTTGATCAGCGTGGAAAATGATGCATACAGACACCAAAGAGGTTCTAAGCAGTCATTCTATACCTGTTCGTTATCCTATCTTTTTTTTAAGAAGTAAGAATAGTGAAAGAGAAAATTTGTTTCATACTTTGTGAAAAGAATCTGATTTATTTATCACGTATGGTTTTCAGGATAAATTAAATACCATACATGTTCGAATAATTGTATGGCTCTAGTATTAAATTAAAATAATGCAAATTTGAAAGTCTGATGTTTAGGTTAAGTTGTACTAAAAGCTTTAAAATTTTTAAGTTGGATCATTTTCTATAAGTCTGTACATGGGTTATTGTACATACCGTGATAAATTCCCATTCATAGTTTAATTTAAAAACTATAGAAGCGATCTTAGGGTTGGATGAAAAGTCTTCTAACCCTTTTCTTTGTCTGCTAATCCAGATTCGTACTATAGCATTTCACACTGGCGGCACTATTTATTTTCATTCATGCTTATAATGAAAACACTAGATCAGTTTTGCTTTGAAAAAGTGTGATAAAAATGAAAGTGGTTTCATATTTTAAACATTTAAAGGAAAGTTATAAGAAAAATTAGCGAGTGCAATTTCAAGTTTGCTTACGATGTTAAAAATATATGAGCACCCTCTTCCAGAGAATAAAAGTCTTTAATGATGCTACTATGAAAAACTAAGGAAAAATAGGCATATGTGCATCATATTTATTTAGGAGAAATAGATTGTTATCTGGAAGTCTTCCTCCGGCTTTGCACAGAGGAAGGATATGCATCCGGGATACCTTAAATGGGCCCTGGAGTTCAAGTGAATAATTATCAGCAGGGTAACTAAGGAAATATATCTTTTTGTCGATATGGGAGATATTTAAATGTTAAGAGACGAGAGTTAAAAAGTTTCTGGGAAAATTAAACAGTTTACTACCTCAGACTGCTGCTGCGTCTTTCGTTTAAGATGGAATTCTTCTGGTATACGTTGTTTGTAATTTTAACTAGTAAGTGCTCTTTTTTTAGCTTTCCAATTAATTTTTGTAAAGTTATTTCTACTTAAAAATGTATTTATTTCCCCAGAACACAAAATTACATCTCTAAGTGGGTAAATTTTTTACGTTTCTTGATTCTTCAATAAAAGGATCAGATTATGAGTTTATGGAATAACTAATCTAAATTGAGCTTTAAATATGTAACTTAATTATCAAAGAATCTAGATAAAGCTATCTGTACTACCTTCCTTTTAATTTTAAATTCGAATCTAGTTATCATTAATCTAATTATAAAAACATATTTTTAATACATAAGAATTTTTAGGACTTTTCTCAATATTATACATATTTCTGTAGGAGCGTTTCTAAGATATCTTTTGATATTTAAATCAGGCATAGCTTTTCATTTTCTAAATTCTTTATCATGTAGCTTCACAAGTATCTGTGCTGTTACTGACTGTTGCTAGAGTGGGCCTCCGCCTGTGGTGTTAGCCATACGGAGCTCAGATGCCAACTCATCGGAAGCTACCAGAGTTATGATATGTTAGGAGAATGATGTAAGTTTTGTGGAATTAACAGCTTATAGCATAGCAACAGATTAATGATGAAAACATACCACGACTTACACAAGACTTAAGTTCACACACAAAGGCAAAGTTGTAACAGCTTGATACACGCATAGTAAAATTGCAGCTGCTCAATTTACTGAGCATGATTATGTAAGAAGACACACAATTAAAATATGTTGGAAATTGGTCTATTAAAATTGTTATTACTTTGCATCTTTGTTATACTTGTTTTCATTTAGCAATGGATCAATGTGCCATTAAGGTGTTCTGAATATCTCTTGCTGTTTCGTGGAGAAGAGGACTCCTCATATTATTCCTCAAAATGTAAGAATCTCTGTGTAAAAATAACGCAATATGAGATTGAACTAAAGCCTAAGTTAAAGGTTTTGAAATGTGCTTTTCTGTATACTCAGTATGTATATCTATGACTGATTTGAACTCATTTGGGCCTTCCATTGGCAGAGCCATACCATAACATCACTGAACTCTGGTAATTCGACTTATGTTAAAATATCAGTAAACGGCGTAGTTATTTGGGTGTTTTCGTAGCTTCCTCCTTGGATAACGTGAATACAGACAGCTTAACCTTAAAAAGTTCTTCAAGAAGGTACAGTAGATAATTCTAGTGGGCTAGCTCGTAATCTAATAAATCCCGTCAGTCCCGTATACGCAATTTGTGTAAGTCGAGAAGAAAAGTAAGGAAGGTTAAAAGGGATATCTGAAGAAACCTTTGAAAAAGTTTACAAATTATGTTTTAATTATGTTTCTATTAATAATGTTCACATTTGTTTATATAGCAATAGTACAAAACTCTGAGGCTAAATTTACGTCGCTAGCTGAAAGATAAGAATGTTGTAGAGTGTTATGAAGGCAATGAAGGTGTATGCTGCATTACGTACAAATCCCTACAAGCGAACAAGAAGCATATTCACTTATAAGGATGAGAGAAGAAGTGAGATCTTTGGAGTGAAGATTCACTCCAAAGATGAGAGATTTTATCTTCTGTTAGCTGTCTGATTAATTTCTGATTGTATCTTCTGTTAACTGTCTACTTCCTCAGCTAAATTATTTCAAAAACAGTCATGCGCATTTCTTTTCAAGTATAACTGTCAAAATTACAATTTTCTAAATTTTGCTACTAGGAAATATAACATTTTATCTATCGCTTAATGCATTAAGTGGCATTTGTATCCAAAAACGCACAAGATATATTAGCCTAACGAGCCACTTGCATTAGTTTACATTCAGATTCTGCCACGTATATTCTAAAGAAAACAATTTCTATGCATAATTGAATGAAATAACTTTTATTCTTTGTAGATACAGGACATTTTATTTGGTTTTGCAAAAATTTACTTTTATTTCCATTTTGCTTGCGATTTTGTAATTAAAAAACATCCTTTCTTCCATATAACTGAAAGTTTAAAGAAAAAAGTGTAAAAAATTAATTGTGGGTTTGAAAAGCTCAAAGTTTAGTATTGTTGGGATATCAGGAAAAATTAAATACTTTCAGTTTCATTTTGTAAAAAATGTATTTATGACCTTCCGCTACAGTATGATTTAAAAACACTTATTCTTTAAAAGGTTATGTGGAGCATTTCCAAATTTCTCTATTTTTTACTCTCTTTCAGTTTGACAGTTTCAAAAAAGTTCAATGAAATTAAGATATTTCTAATTAGAATTTAAGATGAGAAAGGATTAGGTTGAAGATATATTAAAAATTTGATTAATCTGATATTCTGCCTCTCAAATATTTATTTTTCAGCTCTCAAAATTTAGTTAAGTTGAAATTTGGCTCAATATTGTCTGAGACCGAATCGGATTTCCTTCAATATAATTTTCAAACCGTTTACTGGGAGCAGCTCTCTTCTAGATTCCGGTCTTACGCATAAAATAATCTTCCCTTCAAAATACATCACCTGCTTGACGCCAGCTTGATTCCGTTTTCCTTTCTGATAGGATATGAAACCGCGTTTCATGTGTAATGGTTAAAAATGAGCTTATTTCTTTAAATTTTTTATTAATAAATTTCTTTGTAACAAGTGTTATTAGTCATTAAACATAGGATTTTAAATATCAAGTTCCTTTACTTAAGTTTGTTTTAGCCGTCACAGTTTTAAGAGTAATCTTTTATTTAGTTTCATGTTGTTTCAATGTGCATGAAATTTTGTCACTGCTTCTTATTAACTTCCTGATAAACTATCGAGTTAAAATACTTTGTTGGTGGATGACAATGCAATGCTTTCAAAATTCGATTTATATATATATATTTTTTATTTAATGTTAATCGATTTTCCGCTCATATATTCGTTAACGAACAAACTACACATATCAGAATTTTACTATTTGCACCACTGAATACACGGAATTTTTTAAAAATATAACTTAATTTCTGAATTTTTGGCGAATTTTTTAAGATCTCTCGAGTTTTTAGATAAAAAATTGCTTTTGAGTTCATCATTTTGGTACACTAAATGACAAATTGGCGATATTCGTTTTTTTATAAGCATGTTTTACTGATAACGTGTAACTGAGACTAAACGACAACAACAAATAAAACACATTTAGAAAGGTTTTTATGCAATAAGATTTTATTGAACGCGGATGAGATAATTAATGCTGTAAGAGGAGAAAATAATTTATCATATAGTTTAATGGGAATAATATTTTAAATAACTCTATTTAGAGAATTCCTCTACAGCTTTCTATCGCGCATAATAAAACGCGGGTTCTAATTAACGAAATCTATAAGCTTAATTGCATTGTCAAATGTATATGCCATTATATATTTTAATTAGTCCAAAGGGGCAATTTGCCCTGAAGTACTATTAACTTCGTTTTGGCATTTTGCGTTGAAAACTATAAACGGCGAATTACATTTCAAATTGTTGCTACCAAATATTATCGCCCTGTATTATATTTAAAGAAATTAAATAATGAAGAATCTGCATGAATGTATGCTATATTTCTCTCATTGTCATAAAATAACGGTACCTAGAGCCATCAAAATTTGAATAACGTAATGTTCCGTAGAATATGGGCATGTGGAAGTCCTAATTTGAATTTGAAATTTGTTTTATTATCGATTTCATATTTTGTAACACTTAAACGAATTTTTGATTAAGGAACTGAGTAATTTCAAAGCAAGCAATGGCAACACTGTACGGGAAAAAAAAAATGTATATCCAGCGCGGGAGACTCTGCAACGGAAATTCTAAAGATATGCTCATTTAAAAATTATTTTGCGATATTGCTGTTGAACTGAATTTTATAATTTGAGTACGTAGAACATGCTGTTTAATAAATAAAGGTAGCACAAAAAACGTTAAGAAAACGTCCTTTGGACGTAATTTAAAATCTGAAACCTTTTAGATTTTTTTTTTTTTGCTATTAATTTAATGACTTTGAAAAATAGAGTATGTAAGCCATTAATTACCTTTTTAAATTTTTCATGGGCTTTTCCATTAAACTATATGAAAAATTATTTTCCTTTTTTAGTGCATTAAGTATCGTATCAATCTTAAATAAAAGGTCTTTTTCTTTGATTGATTGCATTTTATTTTATTTTAAGAATGAACGCACGTGTTACGTCCAAGAGATACAGTATGCTTTCGGATGTTTGTATTTATCATTTTCAGGGATACAAGTTAAACATAGGAGACAAAATAACTGCAAAAATTTACTTTTGTCTTCCCACTGCGTAGGCTTTGTTTTTTTGTTTTTTTCCTAAAGATAGGAAATGCATTCTTCCTGAAAAATTGACTGTTTTACTGTTTCGGTGAATCTAAATGCTTCTAAAGTGCTGCTTACCCACAAAGTGGTACTTAATGTAGACGATTCCCTTAAATTTTATTAATTTAAAAAACTGCAAGTTATTTAAGGGAATCATTAATAACATGCCTTATTCATCCAATGAATAGTTTTTTAACAGATCATGACAAGCAAGCGAGATTTTCTGTCTAAGGTAGGAATGATATCGTGGAAAAGTTCCTAAAATAAATTGTTTTGTATTCACTTTATACGTGGGAATAATGTAAAAAATTGTATGTCAGCTTCTTTATCATAAATAGAGTCTAACTTGAATTACCATATTAAGGTGCTTTATCACCTCTTCCACTACTTAGCGATTAACCTCTGGATTAAAGCGTTTATTTCTGTAATCCTCATGAACTTGGAATTACCTCAAATTATCGTTAACCTAAATTATTCAAAGTTTGCGTGTCCCAAGGGTTGTTTCGTTGAACACCAGTTTAACTCAGGACTGATGTTTGATTTTTGAACTCAGGATAGTGTTCGTTTTCGTTTTTGCATGGCACTTATAGTACTGCTATCAATAGATGCATTTTAATTGTTGTTTAGAACAAGTAAAATATACAAATTAGTATTCTTCGTCACATATAGATAGAAGTCTCTGTTAATAAATGATAAATTAATATCTCCTGA